CTTAAGTATGGGAGTGATGTGCACGTGCTTTAGAGGGGAGGGGAAGGTACCGGTGGGGAGGGAAAGATTGAAGATGTGAGTGAGGGAGCATAGGATGGAAGAGGAGGGGGACCACAGGAGTTGTGAGGGGACAGGGTCCAGGGGGCAGGTGGTGAGGCGGGCTTCAGAGAAAACCTTAGTGACCTCTTTGGTAGTAGTGAGGTCAAGGGAGCGAAGTGTTGAGGGGGTTATTGTGTGAGGAATGCTAAGTGGGGTGGATGTCTGAGCAGTGGCAAAGTCCCAACGAATTGTGTCATTCTTGTTTTTGAAGTGGTTAGCAATCTCGTAGGCGATAAGTGAGGTACTGGGTGAAGGTGGAGAAAGTAGAGTTAAAAGTGGAGAAGAGCCGGCGAGGACTGGAGGAGAAGGTATTGAGGGTAATAAAGTAGGCTTGTTTGGCAGCATGAAGGGAGGAAGTGTAGGTTAAGAAGGCAGATTTATAGCTGGTGAACGCTTGTTGGGATTTGGTTTTACGCAATAGTCGCTCCAGCGCACGACTATGTCATTTGAGGTTTCTGGTGTGGTCGGTCTGCCAGGGTTGTAGCGGTCGGGGCCTAATGCTTCGTGTTGTTGGAGGTGCGAGCGAGTCTAGAGCGGCTGAAAGTGAGTTGTAGACAGTAGTGGCCAGGTCAGGGCAGCACAGGGGATGGATGCTGTCGTAAAGTTGGTCAGTTGCAGTGGAAGGGAGCAGGATTCAAGTTCCGGAGGTTTCTGCTGGTAATTGTTTGCCTTTTGGAGGGATAGGTGTTTGAGGACGAGGAGACTGAGAAGGTGATGAGGTTGTGATTGGAGAGAGGAAGGGGGGTGTTTGTGAGGTTGCAGGGAGTGCAAAGGTGAGAGAAGACAAGGTCAAGAGTGTTCCCGTCAGAGTGAATGGAGGACTGTATACACTGTGCTAGTGCAAAAGAAGAGGTTATGTGGAAGAGTTGGGATGTAGCCGGGTTATTGATGTTGATAGGGATGTTGAAGTCTCCAAGAATGATAGTGGGTAGCTCAGAGGAGAGAAAGAAGGGTAGCCAGGCGGCGAAGTCGTCAAGAAAGCGAGACATGGGTCCAGGAGGCCGATAGATCACTGCAATCCTCAGAGAGATTGGAGAGAATAGCCAGATGCAGTGGGTCTTGAAGGAAGAGAAGGATAGAGAGGGAGGGTTAGAGAGGATTTTGAAGGTGCTCAGTGGTGACAGGAGCAAACCAACCCCACCACCTTTCCGACCACTGGGTATTTATGTGGGGGGCCCTGATTTGTGTTTGCGTTCTTCTGTGGATTTAATATGTTGTCAGGTGTGGTTCACTGATCACATTGTAGTAATATATCTCTGGTTAGGGATGCACACACTGTTTTTCACTATTTATCTTTAATTAAGAGATCATATGTGGATTGGAGGGGGATTAAGGATTTTATTTTTCGTTCACGTGTGTATATAATTATCACTGTGTCACGTCTATATATTGATCTATATAGGATCTTTTTATTTTTTGGAGGGAATTAGTTTATATTTTTATTCATAGCGCTGCACTATTATATATTGTTTTTGGAGTCATATACACCTTGGGGTTGAGGTATCAAGTGCCAGAAGCTTAGGTATAGAGAAAATCCATATAAGCGCAGGAGGACTTTATATTATAATCTACAAAGTAGACTCTTTTCAATGAGCTCGCTAGACGCCTTTCTGAAGACTGACAGTTCTAGATTGATTGAATTGAGTCTGCCTGAATGTTCAGCGTCTGCTGGTAGACTCAATTATTAGTAAATCAGGGCCATAGTGGCAGAATGCCCCCTGTGAATTTTAAACTGAACTGAAAATAAATAATTCCTTCCAGCAATCTAGGTCCTCTTTTGTAGACCTTTTTACGGTAAAACTTTTATTAGGATTTTTTCTCTCTTATCTCTTTTTGAGTATTTTTTGCCCTTTACAATTATTTTTAATTTTCATGTTTAGTATGGACTGAGGTATCCGTCCTTATGTTGACTTTATTCCCCACTTAGTATTTGAACTGGCGGTGAAAAGGGGGAATAAATACTGCAGAGAGCCTGCAGGTGGCGGTGGAACACACACCAGCATCTAAAGCGCCATATATTCCTGAGCACAAGAATTAAGTGGATAGCAAGTGCGCAGGTGCAGTCTCACTGTCTTCCTGCAGTGTGCCTTCCTGCAGTGTGCCCTCCACCAAAATGGTCGCTGGAGCGCACGGCGCATGTGCACTAGCGCTTTAGATGCCGGCGTGCGTTCCACTGAACTGAACTGAACTTTTGTAGACCTTTTTACGGTAAAACTTTTATTAGGATTTTTTCTCTTTTATCTCTTTTTGAGTATTTTTTGCCCTTTACAATTATTTTTAATTTTCATGTTTAATATGGACTGAGGTATCCGTCCTTATGTTGACTTTATTCCCCACTTGGAATTTGAACTTTTAATTAATTACATCTTCATTTTAATTACGTCTGTTTACGCTAATATTAGTATCTTTTTTCCTTTATCCTTTTCCATTTGTGATCATTTTATGCTTTTTATCTATGCTTTTTATGCTATGTATGTTACTATTTATCATTACTATTTGTTGTGACACGTTCAGCCCCCAACCCCCCCTAATGAGGCCGTCCTACTCATGAGGACAGGCCATGCAATAGAGCAACACTATATTTAGGAGTGGCTTATCTCATTGTGACTAGCTCTGAAGAAGAAGGGACCCCCCTTCGAAATGCGTCAGCTTGACCAGGAGTGCATCTCCCTTCCGGATGGAACTTGCATGCGTCTTCTAACCCTGTGTTGGTTTTGGATGTTATATGTCTTTTTTACTGCTACTCTAGTGAGCATAATTTAGCAATAAGTTCATGAACTGTTTACTGAGGTAATGCGCAAGGTTGGTGCACTCTTTTCTTTTGTTCTTTACTACAGTAAACACGAGCTAACCCAGCTTCGTGTGAGAGCTGCATAAACTTTGATCACTGTTGGATGAACATTATCATTTTATTTGATTGGCCTTCCTCTGATCTGAGCCCCTGAGCGCAGGTGGTGGTGGATGTGTGTTGACTGCATTCTGGTTTTATGCCTGTACTTTTTAAATAAATGTGAGTGCAATTTTAAAACATCTCCTTTGGATCTTTTAATACTACTAGTTGGTGGCAAAAATCCTTTCGGGAGAATGTGCTGTAGACATTGAAACAAAATGACAGCTTTTTGGTAAAAACCCATCATTCTGCTGTTTTCAGAAAAAGCAATGTGGCCTTTAAAGAAAGGAATACAGCCTCTAGAGTTAAACATGATGGAGGTTCACTGATATTGTGGGGTTGCTTTGCTGCTTCAGGCACTGGATGTGTGCATGGCATTATGAAATCTGAAGACTACCAAAGAGGTGAAATTTAGGACCCAGTGTCAGAAAGTTGGTTCTTTGTCAGAGGTCATGAGTCTTACAGCAGGACAATGACTCGAAAAGCACCCAGAAATTGTTTCAGACACAACACTGGAGAGTACTAAACTGGCCAGCAATGAGTGCAGATCTCAATCCCATAGAGCACCTGTGGATCTCAAAACAGCAGTTGAGAAAAGAAACCCTTTCAATCTGAGAGACCTGGAGCAGTTGGCGAACGATGGGTGGTCCAAAATTCCAGCACAGAGGTGTAAGAAACTGATTGATAGTTAGTTACAGTTAATTTCAGTTATTTTTCCAAGGGGTGTTACCAAATATTAAACTGAAGGTACTAATAATTTTGTCAAGTCCATTTTTTGGAGTTTTGCTAGGAATATATTATATTTGGCTTTTTTTTTCTCCCACCTTTTGTGTCATATCAATACAAACAAAAGAAATAGCTTTTGGTCTTGACTGTATATACAGTAGATATGAAAAAAATATATGTAAATACCCTTTTTTTTAATTATATTTTTATAGGTGATCATATGACCTCTGTTCTCATCTGCATAAGGGGGTGGAGACTGCATGGGGGTATGTCAGCAGGAGGTTGTGCTGTGCAGGGGGGAAGGCGTGTCAGCACAAGTCTTGGCCACTTGAGCACGAGCGAGCAGACTGTTCTCCAAGCACTGCCAGCAAAATGACAATGCTGGGAAGGATGTGCGCTCACGCCTCTTGTGGTTATTTTGAAATGGGAAAAGGGGGGGACTGGTAAGATCACCAGGTGTTTCACAGAAAGGAAACAATGCAGAGAGAACAGGATACTGTTTAACACAAGTACACGGTACAACGGACACATATCAGGGATATGAAATGTTGAGATGACAAACGCTTTAACAACTTGCCCTCCAGAGGACTTACCCCCCCCCCCCCCTTCCTGACTAGGCCATTTTTTGCTATATGGCGCTGTGTTACTTTAACTGACAATTGCACAGTCATGCAATGCTGTACATAAATTATTTTTTTGCCCACAAATAGAGCTTTCTTTCAGTGGTATTTGATCATCGGTGCGGTTTTTATTTTTTGTGCTATAAACAAAAAAACATTGATAATTTAAAAATAAATATCTTTGACCTTTTTCTATAAAACAAACATATTCAGTAAAAAATTAAAAAAAATTCAATTTCTTCATAAATTTAGGCTAAAATATATTCTGCTACATGTCTTTGCTAAAAGAAAATCCCAATACCTGTAAATTAATTGGTTTATGTGAAAGTTATAGCGTCTACATATGGCGGTGTATATATACTCAATTTTTTTAAATAAAAATATTTATACTAGTAATGGTGGTGATCAGTGACTTATAGCGGGACTGCGGCTGGCATTCTGACACTGGGGGGGGAACTGACTAACTGCCACATGATCTCCCAATGGCACTAATACAGTGATCAGTGCTAATGAAAAGCACTGACACTGAACTAATGACATTGGGCAGCCAGGGGTTAACATCTGGGGCAATCAAAGGGTTAACTGCGTGCTGTTTTACTGTGTGTGCTCTGTGTGTTTTACTAAGGAAATGTACTGCTGTGTATTTCTCTACTGTGCAGAGAAATACACAGCAACATGTTACTGCTGGCAGGAGAGAGACCTATGTTGTTTACACACAGGTCTCTCCCCTGTCAGTGATACTTGGCGATCACCGGCTGCTGGTGGGGAATCTCTGGCCGGGACACGGTGATCGACATCTGTAGCAGCCAAAGGCGGCACAGGTAGGGCAGCACGTGCCCCCCCCCCCCCCCCCCCCTACCCCCACTACCTGGAGATGCAAAATCACGTGTATATATACGAGATTTTGCGCAGCCCTGTAGCAGTATTTCTGCTATAGGGTGGTAGGGAAGCGGATAATAATGTGGTGTGGGTGCATTTAATATAATTTTGCAATAGGTGGACTATGCCCTCAACACATTTTTAATTACAGTTGAAAAACATACTTTATAAACCCATACTATCAGATACATTTTTGTGCATTCTGAAATACCATTGATTACAATGAACCACACGTGTTTTAATGCTCTATGCACACTAGTATTTTTTTCTTTTAAGCTCAAAATAATAAAAAAATGCTAGTATTAGTGGTTTAATAAGGTTTAGGAGCATTAGTGTTTTTGTAGCACTTTTACAGTACATGTAGTGGGGGAAAAAAGCTGTTATGAGCATTTTAGTAGTATTTAGGAGCATTCAGCATTTTTTTTCTGCTGGCAAATCACACTCAAAAATTCAAAAAAAGGGCGCAACCTAGTGCCTACGCATTAGCAGTGAGACTGGGAGAACATATATGTCCTCTCAAATCCAGAAAGCCTAATGCCCAGCCATTTTTAGATGCAATGACTGGGTGGGAAGCTGTTAATATTGAAGAATGTAAATAATGCACTTGGGAGCTAAACATATGAATTCAAATTACTCGCTGGATGGGAACCTCTGGAGGCTGTCAGCAAATTTAAAACAAAATTTAACATATTGCAACTTACCAATTCTAAAGCTGGCCATAAACGTGTAGATTTTCAGACGAGAATATTTGTACTAAAAGTTGTACGAAAATCCTTTGAACATTCGGTGAATGGACGAATGTAATTCGAAAATTGTCTTTTGCTTTTAACCACCTCCTGTATGGCCGTTGTATATAAACGGCCGGATGGTGGCAGTGCAGGGGTGGGTGGCCGTTTATAAATGGCCTCCCCGCCCCCTGCTTGTGCGAGCTCCCTGGGAGCACGCAGCACCGCGATCCGGTGCCCGCTGTGTCCTCCGGACACAGTGGAACACGATCGTCGTATGGGACCTCGCACAGATTGGCCAATCAGTGATCACATGCAGAGTAGTAAGCAAGATGTCACTTCTGACATTGCTTACTACCTGTGAAATCTGTGAATGATCACAGAGGTCACATGGTACAAGGCTATTCATAACAGCCTTGTACCGCGTGACAAGCTGTGACCAATCACAGCTCACACAGTATTTCTCAATGGCTGCAAGAATGCAGCCAGAGTGAAGGAGAAATGATTGCTTTTACAGCCTTTATGGGTGTAAAAGCAATCAGTGTAAAAAAAAAAATCATCACCCCCCACAAGTAGTACAGTGTCACCTTGGTGGCATTCTACTGCTAGGGTGACAGTATGTTAAAGAAAAACAAACATAAATAATAATATAAAAATGTAAAAAAAAAATTTAAAAAAATTATAATTTTTTGTTAACGAATTTGTTTTTTTTTATTAATAAGATAACTGAATACATTTTGGCCAAATGTTATTTATTTGCAAAATTTTATAAGAAAAACACTTTGTTTCAAAATGTTCACTTTTTCATTTATATAGCAAAAAAATAAAAATCCCAGCGGTGAATAAATACCACCAACATAGAGATTTATCTGTCTCAAAAAAATGCTAAAAAATTCATATGGGTACAGTGTTGCATGACCACGCAATTGTCATTCAAATTGTGATAGTGCTGAAAGCTGAAAATTGGCCTGGACAGGAAGGAGGTAAAAGTGTCCGGACTTGAAGTGGTTAACATTGGAATTTAAAAATGAATGAAATTTCTGAACGATAACCACATATACTGGCATGAAAATTTGTTTGATCAAGAAAAGTTTTCCTTCCTGCTCTTACGAATTTTCCCATCACTGCTATCGAAAACAAACATTTATTTGACACACTAACGCAGGGGTCCTCAAACTGTTTAAACAGGGGGCCAGTTCACTGTCCCTCAGACCGTTGGAGGGCCGGACTATAATTTAAAAAAAAAAAAAAAAAAACTATGAACAAATGCGGACACAGTACAGGAGATGACCAGAGACTACGGACACAGTACAGGAGATGACCAGAGACTGTGGACACAGTGCAGGGGATGACCAGAGACTGCGGACACAGTACAGGGGATGACCAGAGACTGCGGACATAGTACAGGAGTTGACCAGAGACTGCGGACACAGTACAGGAGATGACCAGAGACTGCGGACATAGTACAGGAGACGACCAGAGACTGCGGACATAGTACAGGAGATGACCAGAGACTGCGGACACAGTACAGGAGATGACCAGACACTGCGGACACAGTACAGGAGATGACCAGACACTGCGGACCTACAATGGCGGCGTGAATACTGGGCCGGTCACTCCATAAGACGCACAGACATTTCCCCCCAAGTGTGTCTTATGGAGCGAAATAGTGCCCCATCATTGGTGTCAGTGGGAGGAATAGTGCCCCATCTTTGGCGTTAGTGGGAAGAATCGTGCCCCATCGTTGGTGTCAGTGGGAGGAATAGTGCCCCATCGTTGGTGTCAGTGGGAGGAATAGTGCCCCATCATTAGTGTCAGTGGGGGGAGGATATAGTGCCCCATCGTTGGTGTCGGGGGGGGGGGGGAGGAATAGTGCCCCATCGTTGGTGTCAGTGTGGGTAGGGGGGGAATAGTGCCCCATCATTGGTGTCAGTGGGGGAAGGGGATAGTGTCCCAACATTGGTGTCAGTAGGAGCAATAGTGTCCCATCATTGGTGTCAGTGGGAGGAATAGTGCCCCATCTTTGGTGTCAGTTGGAGGAATAGTACGTCATTGGTGTCAGTGGGGGGGAATAGTGCCCCGTCATTGGTGTCAGTGGGGAGGGGGATAGTGCCCCAACATTGGTGTCAGTGGGAGTAGTACCCCATCATTGGTGTCAGTGGGGGAAGGAATAGTGTTTCCATCGTTGGTGTCAGTGGGGGGGTGGAATAATGCCCCATCGTTGGTGTCAGTGGGGGGAGGAATAGTGCCCCATCGTTGGTGTCAGTGGGGGGGAGGAATAGTGCCCCATCTTTGGCTTCAGTGGGAAGAATCGTGCCCCATCATTGGTGTCAGTGGGAGGCATAGTGCCCCATCATTAATGTCAGTGGGGGGAGGAATAGTGCCCCATCGTTGGTGTCGGGGGGGGAGGAATAGTGCCCCATCGTTGGTGTCGGGGGGGGGGGGAATAGTGCCTCATCATTGGTGTCAGTGGGAAGAAACGTGCCCCATCATTGGTGTCAGTGGGAGGAATAGTGCCCCATCATTAGTGTCAGTGGGGGGAGGAATAGTGCCCCATCGTTTGGTGTCGGGGGGGGGAGGAATAGTGCCCCATCGTTGGTGTCGGGGGGGGGGAGGAATAGTGCCCCATCGTTGGTGTCAGTGGGGGTGGAATAATGCCCCATCGTTGTCAGTGGGGGGGGTGGAATAATGCCCCATTGTTGGTGTCAGTGGGGGGGAGGAATAGTGCCCCATCGTTGGTGTCAGTGGGGGGGAGGAATAGTGCCCCATCTTTGGCGTCAGTGGAAGAAACGTGCCCCATCATTGGTGTCAGTGGGAGGAATAGTGCCCCATCATTGACGTCAGTGGGAAGAATCGTGCCCCATCGTTGGTGTCAGTGGGAGGAATAGTGCCCCCATCATTAGTGTCAGTGGGGAGAGGAAGTGCCCCATTGTTGGTGTCGGGGGGGGGGAGGAATAGTGCCCCATCGTTGGTGTCAGTGGGGGTGGAATAATGCCCCATCGTTGGTGTCAGTGGGGGGGTGGAATAATGCCCCATCGTTGGTGTCAGTGGGGGGGAGGAATAGTGCCCCATCGTTGGTGTCAGTGGGGGGGGGGGGGGGAATAGTGCCCCATCTTTGGCGTCAGTGGAAGAAACGTGCCCCATCATTGGTGTCAGTGGGAGGAATAGTGCCCCATCATTGACGTCAGTGGGAAGAATCGTGCCCCATCATTGGTGTCAGTGGGAGGAATAGTGCCCCCATCATTAGTGTAAGTGGGGGGAGGAAAAGTGCCCCATCGTTGGTGTCGGGGGGGGGGAATAGTGCCCCATCGTTGGTGTCAGTGTGGGTGGGGGGGGGGGATAGTGCCCCATCATTGGTGTCAGTGGGGGAAGGGGATAGTGTCCCAACATTGGTGTCAGTGGGAGGGAATAGTGTCCCATCATTGGTGTCAGTGGGAGGAATAGTGCCCCATCATTGGTGTCAGTGGAAAGAATAGTGCCCCATCTTTGGTGTCAGTGAGAGGAATAGTACGTCATTGGTGTCAGTGGGGGGGGAATAGTGCCCCGTCATTGGTGTCAGTGGGGAGGGGGATAGTGCCCCAACATCGGTGTCAGTGGGAGGAATAGTACCCCATCATTGGTGTCAGTGGGGGAAGGAATAGTGTTCCATTGTTGGTGTCAGTGGGGGGTGGAATAATGCCCCATCGTTGGTGTCAGTGGGGGGGGAGGAATAGTGCCCCATCATAAGTATCAGTGACACCAATGATGGGGCACTATTCCTCCCACTGACACCAATGACACCTAACTTGCTGACCCCTGCTCCAGCATGTTGCTGCTGCAGCCAGCATACCTGGTTGCAGCAGCACCATCACCATCAGCATGGCACACTTACCTGTCAGCTGTTCTTCTTCACTTCAGCCTCTCCCTCACTCGATGTTTGCGGGGCCGCTCGGCTCCACCTCCTCGCAGGTGATTGGCCGCCTGTGTGCCTTTCCTGAGCTACAGTTCTGGCGCCCAATCACCGGTGAGGAGGCGGAGCCGAGCAGCAGGAGTGAGGGAGTGGCCACAGTGAATGAAGGAGCAGCGCTTCCTGGACTGGATTGTCGGGGGACTGGGACCGGAGCCATGTAAGGTATAGAAGCTCCCTGCCCACCCCTGTACTTAGTGTCCCTTCCTCACGAAAAATACGCCTCTGCTGGCTGGCCGGATAAGTGGCCTCGGCGGGCCGCATGTGGCCTGCGGGCCATAGTTTGAGGACCCCTGCACTAACGATTAGAAAATCAAACAAAAATTCTTGAAATGAAAATTCTCAAAGGAAAATCTATACGTGTATGGCCAGCTTTAGTTGTGTTGGTATTCTCTGCATTAAAGTAGAGTTCCACCCAAAAATGTTGTTTGCCTCCTCCCCCCCTCCACTGCCATATTTGGTGGGGAGAGAAGGGATGGCGCAGGTGAGCATGTTGCTAGACCCTGGGACAGGTGAGTATGTGTTTATTAAAAGTGACTTTTAATAAGCACAAAAATGGCTGGAACTCCGCTTTAAGGTAAAAAAACTTTCAGTATGCTGTTCCTCCCTCCAGTCTCCCTTATACTTACCTGAGCCTGATCTCGATCCAGCAATGTGCCAGAGAGCAGCATTGCAAAGTGCTAATTGTTTCTAAACCGTAATCTCGGTATTGCATGCTGATACTTCGTTATAGGAGTTGTGCAGGCAAAATATAAGAACCCCATCCGTACCTTAGGTACGGTTAACATTACAATCAGAGATGTGTGCTTCATTCACTATTGTCCATTTTTCAACTGATATCCTGCTAAGCAAACATCAGGCAAAGATGCTGTACAATGTAGCCTAATCACAAAGGAGAAAATGGGAAGGCTGCACTAGGCATCCTTGTCTATGGAGAAAAGTGCATTGAACAGATGGCAGTAAAACTGAACTCTAGATACATATAGAAGAATAATACAGCTCTATAATCAATAATTAATACATTTTTAAACAAAAGCAATGTAAGGGCATGAATCTGACCTGGTATCAGCCTCTTGAAGTTCCTGTACAACAGTGCTGCAGTGTTGAAAGAATAAGCAGCACAAAGAGCCAAGCGGTTCATGTGCTGACAAGAAGTACACTGATAGCAGGAGAGAGCAGAGTGACAGAGATGGGCTGTTTCTCCTTTCACTGTTCAGTCACAGGCTGGGGTGGGTCCAGAATAACCGGGGCTCAGAGGATGTGGGTTAATGATGCTGGCCAACATATTTATTTTTATTTGTTACAGGTACTTCTATAGAGCCGTCAATTTACGTAGCGCTTTTACATATATTGTACATTCACATAAGTCCCTAACCCTCAAGGAACTTACAATCTAAGGTCCCTAACTCACATTCATACATACACATGCTGGAGTCCATTTTAGACCGGAACCAATTAACCTACCCATATCTTTGGAGTGTGGGAGGAAACCGGAGTACCCGGAGGAAACCCAC